TCTCATTATGGACCAGGGCCTATTGACTGGGGACTACCTGCTATCAAAGATGGTAGTAGTATTAGGCAGTCATAGTAACGATGGCATCAAATGTGTATAATGTCTTCTTGGAGACCATTCTCAGGAAGCTGATCACAGAAACAGAAATAATACTTAAAAATAAGTCATTTCAATTTATTCTCCATAGTCGCTCTCATTTACCATTCATTTAAAATTCACTGTCTACCAGATGGTGGTGGTAGCATTCACCTTTAGTCCCAGTAATCAGGAGGCGAAGGCAGGCAAGAGTTTGAGACCAGCTGGGTCTATAGAGTGAGTTCCAGGACAGCCAGGGCAACATGGAGAGACCCTGTCTTGACAAAACCAAATATATATATGTATATATGTATTTCGCTATCTATTGAGTGGAAGCTATAAGACAGATGCTGCCAAAGATTGGGGTCCCATCATGAAAACCAACATTAAGAGAAAACCAAAACCAAAAGCATGTGCTCCAGTGAGGGAGGCATACTGAAGGAAAGACCAAATGTCATATAGCAGGCAGCAAGGGACTTGGATAAGGAAGACAAAGGGTTTCAGGAAGGTGGGGACATTACTTTTACATGATGGTTGATCTTCACTGGTACTTAGGAGTTTGAGGCCCAACTCTGGGCACATCTGTGAGGGTTTTATCAGAGATGGTTGACTGGTCCTGAAGGGGTTAGGGCCAGCGGGATAAAAGAAATAAAAGGTGAAGACCAGAAAGTGCTAAGATGTTCAGCTTTGTCTCCTGTCTGGCATGATGTGAACACGGCAGCCATCCTCCATCACATGATTCTACAGACATGATGCTCTGCTCACATGTATGGGGTCAAATGGTCGTGGACCGGGCGCTCGGGAGATCCTGTCCCATTCCCCTTCTCTGGGGTACCATGTATATCTCTCTTAGGATTCTTCCTGTTTCCCAGACTCTCTGGCAGTGGGATTATAGTCTGGCACTCCCCTGATACATATCTAAAATCCATATACCATGTTTGTCTTTTTGTGACTGGGTTACCTCACTCAGGATTTGCCTGCAAATTTCAAGATTCCATTTGTTTTTTTCTGCTGAGTAGTACTCAATTGTGTAAATGTACCACATTTTCTCTATCCACTCTTCAGTTGAGGGGCATCTAGGTTGCTTCCAGGTTCTAGCCATTACAAATAATGCTGCTATGAACATAGCGGAACAGACATCCTTGTTGTATGAATGGGCATCTTTTGGGTATATGCCTAAGAGTGGAATTGCTGAGTCTTGTGGTAGGTGTATTCCCATTTTTCTGAGGAGTCTTTATACTGATTTCCAAAGTTGGCATTCCCACCAGCAGTAGAGGAGTGTTTCCCTTTCTTCACATCCTTTCTAGCATAAACTGTCATTGGTGTTTTTTATTTTAGCCATTCTGACAGGAGTAAGATGGTATCTCAGAGTTGTTTTGATTTGCATTTCCCGGATGGCTAAGGATGTTGAGTACTTTCTTAAGTGACTCTCAGCCATTTTAGACTCTATAGAGAATTCTCTATTTAGTTCTGTACCCCTCTTTTTAATTGGATCCTTTGGTGTTTTGGAGACTTGCTTCTGGAGTTCTTTGTAAATTTTGGAGATCAGCCCTCTGTCAGATGTGGGGTTAGTGAATATCTTTTCCCATTCTGTGGGCTGCCTTTTTGTCTTGCTAACTGTCCTTTGCCTTACAAAAACTTCTCAGTTTCAGGAGGTCCCATTTATTAATTCGTTCAAGGGTACCTCCCACATTCTCTTCTAAGAGGTTCAGTGTGGCTGTATTTATGTTGAAGTCTTTGATCCATTTGGACTTAAGTTTTGTACATGGCGATAAACATGGATCGATCTGCATTCTTCTACATGTCAGCCTCCAGTTATGCCAGCACCATTTGTTGAAGATGCTTTCTTTTTTCCATAGTATAGTTTTAGCCTCTTTGCCAAAAATCAGGTGTTCGTTGGTTAATATCAGGGTGTTCAATTCAATTCCATTTGTCTATCTGTCTATTTTTGTGCTGATACCAAGCTGTTTTCAGGACTATAGCTCTATAATAGAGCTCGAAGTCAGGGATGGTGATGCCTCTGACATTGTTTTGTTGAACAGGATTGTTTTGGCTATCTTAGGTCTTTTGTTTTTGTATATAAAGTTGAGGATTGTTCTTTCAAAGTTTGAATTGTGCTGGGATTTTGATGGGGATTACATTGAATCTGTAGATTGCTTTTGGCAAGATTGTTGTTTTTACTATGTTGATTCTACCTATCCAAGAGCATGAGAGATCTTCCCATTTTCTGGTATCTTCTTTAATTTCTTTCTTTAAAGACTCAAAGTTCTCATGATACAGGTCTTTCACTTGTTTGGTTAATGTTACCCCAAGGTATTTTATGTTGTTTGTGGCAATTGTAAAGGGTGATGTTTCTCTGATTTCTTTCTCAGTTCTTTTATCATCTGTATATACTAGGGCTGCTGATTTTCTTGAGTTGATCAGGTATCCTGCCACTTGCTGAAGGTGTTTATCAGCTGTAGGAGTTGCCTGGTAGAGTTTTTTGGGTCACTTATGTAAACTATCATATCATCTGCAAATAATGAAAGTTTAACTTCTTCTTTTCCAATTTGTATCCTCTTGATCTCCTTTTGTTGTCTTATTGCTCTAGCTAGAACTTCAAGTACAATATTGAAGAGGTATGGAGAGAGTGGACAGCCTTGTCTTGTTCCTGATTTTAGAGGAATTGCCTTGAGTTTCTCTCCATTCAGTATGATGCTGGCTATTGGCTTTCTGTATAGAGCTTTTATTATGTTTAGGTATGTTCCTGTTATCCCAGATCTCTCTAAGACTTTTATCATGAAGGGGTGTTGGATTTTGTCAAAGGCTTTTTCAGCATCTAGTGAGATGATCAGCTTGTTTCTCAGCCTGTGTATATGGTGGATTACATTGATGGATTTTTGTATGTTGAACCATCCCTGCATTCCTGCATCCCTGGGATGAAGCCTACTTGATCATGGTGGATGATTTTTCTGATGTATTCTTGGATTTGATTCGCCAGTATTTTATTGAGTATTTTTGCATCATTGTTCATGAGGGTCTAAAGTTCTCTTTCTTAGTTGTGTCTTCGTGTGGCTTGGGTATCAAGGTTATTGAAGCCTCGTAAAAAGAGTTTGGCAATGACCTGTCTGCTTCTATTACATGGAATACTTTGAGGAGAATTGGTATTAGTTGTTCTTTGAATTTCTGTTAGAATTCTGCATGGAGGCCATCTGGCCTTTGGTTAGGAGAATTTTGATGACTGCTTCTATTTCATTAGGGATTATACATTTATTTAAATTGCTTATCTGTTCTTGATTTAATTGTGGTAAGTGATGTCTATCCAGAAAATTGTCCATTTCCTTTAAATTTTTGAATTTTGTGGAGTACCTGATGATTCTCTTGACACTAATTAGCACTTGGAAATAGTCACTAAATCTAATCTTCCCTTCCTAATTTGTTTCTTTAGTCACATAGTGTGGAAGAAACTAATAATGGGCTAGTCAGGAGGAGGTTTTGTGATAAGAGGCTTCTGAGAAAAAGAATTAAGTTTTGGGTGACAGGCATTGACCTGAGGTTTCTTCCAGGCATGGGGGCAGGTTGTGCCCAAACTCCAGTAAGTCCAGTCAATGCAAATTATCTTTAAATAAAGATGTCAAGAGGAATAGAAGTAGAGGGGTTAAGAGTATAGTACGGAAGTACCAAGAACAAGAATCAGAAAGTGAGGAAGCTGTAGAAAGAATAGGAGAGGCAAGCCATCAGTCTGTGAGGTCTAAACATCACAGTGACCTCACCCGGTTTTCATAGAACCTTCCAGGGCCTGGGTCTTAGACCCTTCAGCAATGTGAGAGACTTCAATTCTGTCTAGGTTTCATTTTGAAAGGGACAGCCTGCCTAGTCCCTAACTTGTTTACTCTGGATGCCATATTTCTATCAGATATCTAAGATTACAGTTATAACTCATTGAGTTTTCAACCTGTCAGAGCAAGTCATTTGTTTTCACATGAGATGCTTATAACATTCCTGCAGTATGAAGTTGCCATAGGCTCTTGAGGTTCCTTGACCTCATGGAAGCTTATGATGTAGCACTGTACCAGGAAGCTGTGGGAAATGAGCTAACACCAACCCCTGTGTTTTCCTTCCCATTTCTACTCACCCAGGCGATTAGAGTCCTTACATGAGTATGTTCTAGATTCCTGTTACATTGTCTGTTGGGAAAGAGTCTACAGTCACGTGTTCCCCTTTCAGCTAATTAGCATAATCATTTCACCCTATGCCTTCTCCCTTCTCATGGGGGATGCCGACATCTGGCCAGCATGAATCGCTCTTGTGGCAAAACCTGACCGGACAATGGTACTTGTGTCAAGTCGTGGATATGCTCATTTGCTTCATGTTGCTGGCCTTTTACTATCTACACATACAACTCACATCACCACTTTGTGTGCCGAACATCCCAACAACAAGAAGTTTTTAAAAAGACAATGTATTTCTGCCATCCCTGTCCTCAGGAAGAGGAGATAGGAGGAATAAAAATCTGAAGCTACCCTGAGCAACACAGCAAGAGTCTATCTCAAAACAGCACCAACAAGCTAATGCTTTGATTTCCTTGCAGCATCCCCTGCTGACTGGGGATAGCATGTGCGCCTAATGAGACCTGGCAGGGGTCACTTGGGCACTGGAGAACACCTGTCTCTTTCATGTCTGACCAGGCAAACACTCTACTGTACACGGTGATCCGGAAAGAATATGATTGCCAGGTCCTTAAACACATTAGGACTTATCAGATCCCATTGGAATGTACTGTATAGGTTATTTCTACTTCTCGACAACTATAATTTGATTTTGAGCCCACAAATATCAGAGGCACGATAGGGAGCAAATCTAACACAGTCTTAGATTCCCTGGGGATTATCTCCCAGAGATAAGGGCTGCTGCAATCACAGGTTTCATTACTGAGTTAAACTTACAGTTTCACCTCTGAAGCCCTTTTCACCTCTGGGTCCCTGAAAGAGAGGGGAAAAAAGATGGTAGCTAAGTGTTATAGGCCTTGCGTGTGTGATACAGCAGCAGGTGCACTCAGCAACATGCCATTTATATTTCCGTCTCACTGTCCAGGAAGACGTTAATTCAGATGCAGTATCCATTTCCTGGGTAATGGAAAGCTCCCCCGAAACAAACACAAAACCACCTGTGCTGGTGGGTTCCGCTCTGCTCACCACTCCAAGCTCCACCATGCCGTGAGGCTGGGTCAACAGGACTGTTACTCAGGTAGCACAGTCAAAACAGCTGTCCAACAACCATTCACAAAAGAATTCGGAAAGGAAATTCTTCCAGTGTCTCGGTTCCAATCCTTGGCTTTTCTTTGCTTTCAAAACCCTTGTTTCTAGAACATTCCCTTTCTCCCCTTTCCCACTTTCAGTTCCAGGTTTAGTTCTATTCACTGCGGGGCGGGGCAGTGTGACTTCAGAGGACTAACCCAGGCCCCAGTGAGTTCTTCTCTTCCGCTGTGGCTCCTGGAGACTGGGCTCAGGTTGTGGGGCTCCCAAAGCAAGCGCCTTCAGCGGCACCACACTAGCTTTTAAAATCATTTTGGGGGAATAATTTTTCCATATCAAATCTAGGAATTCAATTTTAAAGTATGTTTTTGAAAAAAAAAAAGAATTTAGCCTTCTAGTCCCATTTAGAAGATGTCCCCAAACTGTAGCTACACCTTAGCTTTCTAGATGATTTTTAAAATGATCTTTCTGTTCTGTTTTTCACGTCAACCTTATTTGTTTTTTTTTTTAATGGTGAAGTGTGGTGACAAAGTCTTCACTAATGCTTCCCAAATAATTCCATCTGCCTTTCCTGCCCCCAGCATAGGAACAGCCATGTGACCAAATGATAGCCAATTAGACATTAGAAGTACCTAACACTTGAGGGTGATTCTGAACACTTGAAGGTGGCTAAATGAAAAAAAAAACTAACCAAATCTGAAGTCCTTCTTCCTTACCAGCTTACTACGAGCCAGTTTTGTTCGGTGCTCCTGCTACTTGGGGCACTTTCTGTGATGATTAACTCACAATATGCGTGCACATCTAATTCTGTCCTCTCCTCTGCCACACTGACGGGCTTCTTTCTTTTTCCCACCATGCATTCTGTTTTTGTTAATTTTGCACTCTCACTGTTTTCCATCTTGAAAGAGAAATCCATTATCGCCTCTCCCCTACCTATTCTCCCTCACAGGATTTGTGTGTGATTCTCAGATGATTATAAATCCATTATCGCCTCTCCCCCTACCTATTCTCCCTCACAGCATTTGTGTGTGATTCTCAGATGATTGTTTCTTATAATGGACTTTTCTTCTCGGAGTGGAAAAAAAACAGAATATGGAAAAAATTTGAAAAGAAATTTGATCTGCATGGTGAATAGTATAATGACCTTTAACAACTATTGGATAAACAAAACACAGTGGGATATTTTAATTGAGACATTTCTTTATCACATTTTCCTTGACCAACCGCTTCACATTTTTTTTACAGAGGAGAACAATCACTCCTTAATCGGAACAGCGTGTGCTGAGGAACCGCCCACTGAACTGTGAGAACTCTCCCACCTACAGTTTTATGCAGCTCTGAGTAGCAAGTGTTGGAGGCCAAGAGAATGAGTTACACATTGTATTTCCTTTGAATAAACTCCAGGAACTTTAGTGGTGAATTCTCTAAATTTATCAAAGATAAGAACTCTCCTTAACACTCTGAAACATTCCATTTTCAGTTTTAAATGTCTACACATAACACTTTCGAATGCTTCAAAATGGAACGAGTCTTGGTTTTTCCAGTCTCCATCTGACCGACCCTACTGGGTCCCTTGGTGTACAAGTTCTGCATTAGGCCCAACCACACTGTTTCAGTCACTTATTTCATGGTTGCTTTCCCAACAAATTTCTTACAGTGCTGGCAATGTGCTGACTCTGTCCACCCCAGACACAGCCGGGTAACTCACTGCCTCCTTTACCTTGGCCAACCAGATGAATCCTATAGACTTTATCTATTGGATGGAAATAATGCCGGCTTCAACCACTTGCTGTACCAACTTGAGAAATGTTGTCATGGAAAACGAAGCAAGTCACAAAAGGAGGTTTTGGAAAGTTATCATTGCACATTTCACAGTCGTCCTTCAGTGTGACCCGCACTTGGAGAGCGTGGCAGAGGGTGGCGAGCACTCCTTCCTTGAGACCATCCTGTTTAACCATGCACTATTCTGGTTTTCTTGCCCATTTTACCAACATCTTTCCCTGTTTACCGTGGGTGCTTCTAAGAACCCAGTCTTGGCCATCAGAACTCATTCAATGCCCTGCGTTCTTTCCTTTGGAACTGCCCCCGGGTTTCTACCTTCAGTCACTGCTCCCATGTTTACTGCGCTCCCTGGTTAGTGCGTTTTTCCTTTCCTCAAGCCGGAAGTGCCCCCTCCACTCAAGCCTTCTCTTACTCTACCGCCCTTAAGAATTGCCTTCCAGAAAAAAACAAAAACAAAAACAAAAACAAAAAACCGAGTGTCTTCTTTTTAACCTTTGTTCCCAAAATACACAGGCTGCTTATTTATGGAGTTTTCTAGAATTAGGAATTTTAAAACACGGTTAACAGCAACGACAGAATGAAAGAGCTATGTTGTAAAGAACTTACAATTCCGCCTGTTGGGCCTATTATACCTTCTCTGCCAAGAGGGCCAGCGTTTCCCTGTTGGGGTAGAGAGAGAGTCAGTCTCCAAGAAAAAGTCAGTCTCATTCTTCAAATAATTGGAAAAAAAACCTAGAAAATTTGTTGTATGGTAAAATAGCTATCGCTAAGTAGTTTTTGTTGTAATACAATATACTACTAGCATGAATTACAGTTATTTTGGCAATTATACAATTGACAATTGATACAATTGTCTATATTGCTGTAGTTTCCTACCAAGGGAGCTGTAAATTGCTACTTCTAAACAATACAAGTCAAAATTAGAATGTTCATGTGGTGAGAAGTCCAAGGATGTATTTTGTATGTAGAGCATTACATAACAAATAAAATTGCTTTATGCTCTAATATTGAACAGACCTGCAAAAAGAGAAATTACCCGATAGATGTTTAATTCAGTATAACCTGTAGACCAATGGTTCTCAATCTTTCGAATGCTGTGACCCTTGAAAAAGTCCCTCATGTTGTGGTGACCCCCAACCATAAAATCATTTTCATTGCTACTTCATAACTGCAATTTTGCTTGTTATGAATCATAATGTAAATATTTTCAGAGGTAGAAGGTTGTTGAAAGGGTTGCAACCCACAGGTTAAGAACCACTGTTTTGGACTCAGTGGCTGTTGAGGAAACTTTAGTCTAATTAATTATGATGTAACTCTCCCAAATAATAATATGTTCAAAGAATAGAAAGGTATAGACTGACACTAGAAGAAAACAGACTGGAAACATTAACAGTTATTTATCTAAATGTTCAAAAACATCGCACTATGGTTTTAATGGTAGGCCTGAGTTGTCTATGTGAGTGTGATTTTGGAATGGAGTGCAATAAAATCCTGATTTTTCTAGTTTAAGTACTCTCACTGAGTCATCAAACACTTCTTGCTTTTGGAGCGGGCAGCAGACTAGAGGCCATCACTACCCACTGTGCGCTCCGATGCCTCAGCTTTTGGTGACCAGCCCTGTAGCACATGGTTTGGCCACTCAGACAGGGAGCAGATTCTTCCTTTGCTGTCATCCTAGCATACCACGGTCTTGGAAATATTTTCCAGAGGCTTGGTTCCCCAGCTGCAAAGTAGGGTGACAGCACCTCTCATAAAATTTTAATTGGAATTAAATGACACAAGGGACACAGACTGAACACTAGTCACCCCCCCCCACTGCCCCATACTAACATATCAGGACTTTTTATTTGTCTCCCACACAGGCGTGTCCCAGGCACTGTCTTATTCTAATTCTTGCTTATGAATGACTAGCTGTGAGCTCTTTACTCGAACTCTACTATTAGTGAGGTGACTAAGTGACTGCCCCACAAAGTGATGAAGGCTTCAGTCCTGGGCCAGCCCAGAGCCTCAGCACTCTGTGGAAGCCTGCCGAGGACAGCAGCCAGACTCTGATCAGGTCATAGAAGCAACACTTATTTTACAGTCGTCTATTCCTATATACCACACTTGTGGATAATCAGAAATGACACTTTCTGTAACAGCACTCATGGTGAAAATCATCCAGACTGTTACCTGGGGAAGTGCTGAGGCAGGTCTCCAAACGAGCGTTCCCCACAACAATGCTGCTCTTTGTTTTATTGAAAGTAATTTATCGACGGTGTTAGTGAGCCGTGTAGAAGCTTAAAACCTGCATGAGACTCAGCTGGACTCCCTTAATATAGGTGACAGTGGTGTGACTGGAACAATCTATGAGGCCACTGGCAGTGGGTGCAAGATCTAACCCTAATGCACAGACTGACTTAGTGGAGCCCATTGTATATGGAGAGATACTTTTCTCAGCCTAGACACAGGGGTGTGGGGGTGCAGAGGTGCCTTGGCCCTGCCTCAATGAGATGATGGGGCAGACTTAGTAGACTTCCTAGGGGAGGCCTTACCCTCTCTGTGGAGCAGATGGGAGGAGGGGCAAAGTGTTGGGACTGGGTCTGGAATGTAAAAACTAAATAAATAAAAAAATGAAGGAAAAAGAAAAGGACTCTGATCTCATTCACCACTTTGAGTAAGACAGCGGTTGGGGTTACGAAGCTCTTCAGGGTCATTCCTGATGCATTTGAAATGTTTTTTCTCCTTCCTCTCCTGTCTTCCCAGCCCTAGAAGCTGCTGTGTCCTTGGAGCTGCTATGATGACAACTAAATCACCTCTTGCAGTTTAGAAGCAGTTGTTTTGTTTCATTTCCATTTTATAGACCATCCCTCATTAAGACTGCATGATGAATACAAACTGTAATAAAGCAGAACTAACACTGGCCAGGACCGAGGCTGGCTCCTTCACATCTTCTACATTCTGCAGCTCTAGGCACTAAACTGCTAAGTGACATTTGCTAGCCTTTGATTTTTGGAACTCTTTTGGCAGTTCACAGCACTCTCTTGGGATACTTGATCCTGAGCAGAAAAAATCAGATTTGGGGAAAGAGCTGTCAAGTGTGTCCTTAAGAGTTCTGGTTAGAGGCAAGTCTTCTCCAGGTGGGTGGTGTTTGGACGCTGGCTGCTTTATGTGTTGTGTTAACAGATATACTGTCCATTCTTCACAGCTATTCTGATGATTTTTTAAAAATAAGAACTGAGAAGTATGGGTGGTCTATTATGGTATTTTGCTTAAACTAATTTATGAGCTGTGAAAGGATGGAGCTTGAATGGGCTGCTTTGAATTTCTGTCTTGAAAATCATTTTATTAACTTATTAATGTGAATATTAATTTAAAGTCCTACAATAAGCAAAAAAGCAGAGGTCTTGGGTGACAAGATGACTCTATACTTACTCTCTGCCCAATAGGACCTTTAGGGCCTGCAATTCCAACAATACCAGCATCCCCCTCTGGACCCTAAAGATACAATGAAAAATAGAAAGCCTGCTTTAGTCCTGTACAGATATCTTACAAATGAAGAGTTTAAAAATACTTCTTAAAATGGGAACAATAGATAATCATATAAGAAAATTAATGGGACATATGATTATAGAAAATTCTGTTTTATCAAGTGTATGTTTGTAAGTGAGATAGAGATGATAGAAGACAGACAGACAGACAGACAGATAGATAAGGGTGAGAGAGCGTGTGTGGGGAGTTGGAGGGGTAGAGGACAGACATCATTGGCGTCATCTTACACTGTGTTTGTGACAGGGTCTCTTGCTATGTTAGCCATGCTAGGTGGCCAGCATGAAATTCCCTTATTACTGCCTGCTACCTTCTCACAGTGGTGCTGGGATTGAAGAAGGCTGCATTACTGTGGATTATGGGTGTCAGAACCCAAGTCTTGTGTGGCAAGTGCCTATTTTAAGTTTTGGTTTTTTTTAATACAAGATTTCATATGTCCCAGGCTTGCCTTGAACTGTAATCTTCCTGCCTCACCAAGTTCTGCAGCTATAGGGGTTTTGAAATTAGCACTTTAAAAACTCAAACACATGGGTATACCCATAAAGATTTTAAAGATTAAAGAAAAGTTCAGGTCATAGACTAAATATTGATTATTTCAACACTTCTCATCTTTTTCCCTAGATACACATAGAACATATGTACACATACTCTGGGGCCTGGGAATCCCTGGAAACCTGTCAAACCTTGATCACCATGTTCTCCCTGCAAGGCAAACAGACAGGGGAATTGTTACTGCACAGTGGTGGCCTGATCTGTGGAATCAGTAGTTGGTGATTTCCGAGTTGACACTTACAGGCTGCCCTTTCAGACCAGGCTCTCCGTGTGGTCCTTGGTCACCTTGTGCTCCTTGTTGACCTCTTTTACCTGGAATTCCAGGTTGACCAGACAGCCCTTGTTCACCCTACAGACCAAACACAGACAGCTGGTTTTTGACCTCAGAACCGATAAATATATTATTGAAATACAAATATCCACTTTCAGAATACTGTAAGGCATTGGGGATGTTAAATGTATCATCTTCGTCCTTTCCACCATTTGCCACAAGCAGAACTTTATTACAACAAGCAAAAGGTGCCGGGCGTTGGTGGCACACACCTTTAATCCCAGCACTCGGGAGGCAGAGGCAGGAGGATCTCTGTGAGTTCTAGGTCAGCCTGGTCTACAGAGAGAGTTCCAGGACAGCCTCCAAAACAATACAGAGAAACCCTGTCTCAAAACAAAACAAAACAAAAAAACCAATAAGCAAAAGGTATAGATATAAGAAAAGAGAATTCCAGGGGTTAGGGTAGTGCACATGGGGAAAGAAGTGGGAAGGGTGACATCATAGCGTGTAGGAAGTGTTGTGTGAGGTAGAACACGTTTCGTACAGAAGTGACCATTTTGCTCTGTTGTCCCTGTCTTCCAGGGATGATGATACTAGCAAGAGAGCAGTTACCTGAGGGTTGGACTGTGATTTTACCATGAGTATCATTTCAGTTTTACCAATCTGAACTTTGGTTGGCTCTGTTATCAGGTTTATTGAAGGCTTAAGTGGGTATTATCAGTTCACTGAATGGTTATATTTGGCTTTAGAGGAGTAAGAGTGTATTTGAGAAAGTCTGCATCTAGAAGTAAATTCCATGTATCTACTTGTCAAAGATAGATGACATAGAAGAGAAGGAGAACTAGAAACAAGTTTTAAAAAAACGAAGAGCATTTGGAAACACTTCTAGTTCTTTGTTAGTGAATTATCCCCCAATAGCATGCCTTTTGGCTACCAGTGGGAAACAGACATGCGTAGGCCATATACTTTTCTTTTGCTTAATGTGGTTTTCCTGTCCACCGGATTTTATTAAAACATGCTCAGCCGTGATCTAGACAGGATATACAGGGTAGAGGAGGTGGCTTGTCCTACCTGACATAGATGATAAGAAAGTACCTTTGGTCCCGGAACACCAGGCCTTCCTGGTGGGCCTGATGAGCCCTTTCCTCCTCGAGGACCTGAGGATCCAGTCAGTCCTGTTCTTCCTGGGCTGCCTGTGACACCCTGAATAACACAGACAAGAAATGGGAAGTAGGGCATTTTGAGAATGTCAATATAGAGGGTAGATAAATATAGAGGGGCAGGTGGTGATAGGATGCCCATATTTGGAAGTATGTTTTCCCACAGGAGTGAAACAATTAAATAGTTTGGAAGCCCCACCGCTCACATGACACATCTAATTGTAGTTAATATGATCTTGGGTTTTTTAAATGGAGACTTCAAGGCAATACCAAGTCCCTCTTGATTTACACAAGCAGGGTGTACAGTATGCTTTGCTGCATTTTAACTTAAGGACATATACTCTGCTGTGCATGGCAAGTCTAACAGAAGAATATCTCCTCACAAAGAATTCTATGTTCCTTACTTACATGATTCTAGAAAGTCCAGTGAAAAGAGTTTAAAAATGAAATTAAGCAAGCAAATATTAAATTCCTAAAATCAAATCCTGAATCAGGGTTGGCCATCATGATTTAGAAGCCAATGTTAGCATTCATCTCTTCTTATATAGATTGCAACCCAAGCACAGTTTTTATATTTTTAAATGATGAGAAAAATGAAAATAGTGATAATAATAGTTTGAAACGTGAAGAGTATATGGGATTAAGATTTTGGTATATATGAATAACATTTTATTAGGACACAGCCACATCCATTCATTAACATATTGACTCTGGCTTCACTTGTGCTGCAGCAGCAGAACTGAGTAGCTCTGCTGGTGACAGAGATGACAGCACTCCTGTTTGCTGCACAGTAGACTGGAGTAGGGCCACGTTTCAGATGGAACATACATGGTCTTCCTGTGATTTTTTATTTCATGTCTTTTAGTGGTGGAACATATCTACCATGTCAGAATAAGAAGGGTGGACCTTGGGTGTCACAATTTATAGGCACAGTGGGATATGGACTATTTTGTTTTCAAATTAGATGACAAACTCTTGTGTTTGGTATGTACTGAAACCACATCTATAACTAAAATACATATGATACATTCCAGCAACATCAGACCAAAAGCATATTACAACTTTACATAAATGCAAGAGATAGGAAGTTAGAAAGTTTAAAAAGGGGTGTCTTATCATAGTGGAACTCTCTCTCTCTCTATCTCTCTCACACACACACAAACACAAACACACACAAACACCTTTTTAAGAATGCTGAACTAAAACTAAGTTTTCAGTTGTTGGCTCGGCAAAGAACCTTATTTATGGTGACTGATTACATCATATGTTTAAAAAACTCTTGTTCAATATTGTTTATCTTTTTGGTGAGTATATTGCTTGAAATGTTGACATTGTAATAGAATCAAATGTTTGAGAATATAGGAAATGCTGTTAAACTAGTTTCTTTGCCCTTGGTAGGTCAATGGAAGATTGCTATATTGCAAAGTTGTTCATTTGAGGGGTCAGAGATGAGCTTCAAATGATGGAAAAGTTAACCTGCATGGAAAAGCTGTGTATGACTGCAAGGAAGACTATTGTCAAGGACGTTAAGGGCAAACAGATTAGCACAGCCTGAAGTAGAATCTTCTAAGAGGCAACAAAACTGATAGATGTGATCAAGAAAAGACCCACTGGACAAACTCCAAAGCTTGGCAAAAGTCTGGTTATTAAAGCTATGAATATTCATTGCAGTTGTTGCCAACAGGGGATCTGAGAAAAATATTTGAATTTGATACATAGATTATCCAACCTGTGTGGCAACAGTGAATTCCATTGGATTTAATCTTCTTTGGTTGTATAACATTTTAAATCAAAACCTGTAATGGGATAACTTGACATCCAGTTATACAATGTTTGATGGCTTATATAAGTATAGCTTTGGTAATGTATTTCGAGGCAGAGATGGAAACCTTCCTAAATGAGAGAAACATCCCTCTATAGAAGAGGCCAGAAATATATCTGAAATCTGTCCAAAATAAAGGAAGTCATATAAAGAAAGAAATGACATGGGATTTAGCTCAGTGGGTGGAGTGTTTGCAACCGTATGGCCAGTGCCCAGCACTACATATAGTAGGTACTGTAATGTATGATCCTAATGATACTAAGGAAGCAGGGAAGACCGGGAGTTTAAGGTCATTCTTGATGACAAAGTGAGTTCGAGGCTAGTCTGGAATACTTAAGACCCCATCTCAAAAAACAAACAGAACAAAACCAAAGCCAAAGCCAAACCAAGCAAGCAAGCAAGCAAACAAAAACAATTAGGTTTTGCAATAGTCTTTACAATGCTTATTAGTTAATAAAACTCAAAATAACATAGGAAAACAGTGATCGTACATGAAAACACATGTAATTCCAACAGCTGATCACAGGTAACACTAGAAGCATTATACATTGCCTGTACTGTCAAAATTAACGCAATTGTGAGGCAACTGCCAGAGTTTCTGAGTTGGGTTTCAGGTGCATATTTTAGACATAGATGGAAGAAGATTTTGTGTTTCCCAAACCACTTGACTGCACAGTTGAGGAATTTATGCATAAGCTTCAATTGGAAGTGACTAAGCTATAATATAATGGCATGTTAAAAGACAGCTACCAAGGGAAAAATCTAATAGAATTCTACAAATTCCTTCCACACTCTGAATATGTTCAATTAAGATCATATGCTCATAAACTGCTGCACTTAGAAGTTCCTATCACTGTGAAAAGAACTTTCAAACATGGAGTATGTAAAATATGCAGAATCCTAACAGGGCAGCTTAACAGACAAGCAAAAAGCTGTCAATAGGGAACTAACTGTGGTGAGTTAAAGGTTGTCTTTCCAAAGAGAGTACTTTGCTTTCTCCATTTTTTTACCAGTGGGCCTTATTACAAAAAGATTGTACTCAATCATCACATGTTAAAATTATTAATGACTACGAATGCATAACATTTATTTTCTCATCCAAATTCCTATGCAAAACTCTCAATTTCCCTCCTTTCCTACTCAGTCTTACTGAATCTGCTAAATTCTCCTCTAAAGGGCCTGGCCACTGTCTCTGTTCCCGGGATACTAAGTCATGTTATTCAGTGATTCTTCCATGCACTCAACAAGGATATTTTTAAGTATCAACCATCGTAAGGAAGATAACACAGGAAGCCCTCTAGGGAGTATGCACATAGATGTAGATGTGATTCTTTCTTTCAAGAAGCTTCACAACCTAACCTTTTTTTTTTTTTTGCTATTTTCAAACAGGGTTTCTCTGTGTAGTCCTGGTTGTCCTAGAACTTGCTCTGTAGACCAGGCTGACCTCAGATCCACCTACCTCTGCCTCCAGAGTGCTGTGTCACCACTGCCCAGAAATTACTATAATTCTATATATTATAAAAATTCAATATATTATCTATTATGAACATTTAAAATTTGTGTTTATGTGACTGTCTGCATGTATTTATGAACACATGTGTGTGGGTGCTTATGGAGGTGAAAGGTGGGTGGTCAATGCCTGGAGCTGGAGATGCAGGGTGTTGTGAGCTTCTAGATGTGGATACTAAGAAATGAACTCTGGTCCTTTGCAAGAGCAGCAAGTACAACAACCACTCTTAACTGCTGAACCATCTCTCCAGTACCTAACTATATTCTTAGATATCTTTTCTAGGTAGATTTTTCTATGACCACAAAAGACTCACCTAAGTATTAATAAATTATGCCAAGTGATTAAAGGCAGATATTTACGGGACATAAGTTCATATTCCTTGGCTAGGCTTTTAAGACTTTTTTGTTCTCATCTACATCAATTTATGTCCCATCATTTTTTTATATTAGTGAATCATAGTATTTTTGAGGAACCACTATGAGTGCGAAACCTTTATAAAGAGAGGAAAAGAGGAAGGGAGAAGGACGGACAAAAGACGATAGAATGGTACAGAAGGCAGTGGGTAGAGAAAAAGGAACAGTAGAAAGTGAGGAGATAGATATACCCACTCTCTATATATGTGTCTGTCATCTATCTATTGAGGGGACATCTTTACATTGTAGAGATTGGATATAGACGTTGTAGTTCTTACACACTGCAAGCACATTATCTTAAATGTATTAGTCTGTCCTATTTATTTTCCTTTGCTTCCTTCTATCTGTTTTAGATTCATTTAATATAGTCTGCAAGCTGCTAGTTCTGGAATGGCTTTCTATATGAATAATGAGAACTACCCATGCAAATGAAGGAACGTCCTATAAGAGGCACCTGAGACTTCAGGAAAGTTTCAAAAAATGGTCAAAGAAGACTTAGGTGTTGTCAATGACCAGATCTCTGATGAGAAGGCAACTTTATAGGAATAGGATGCTTTAAAAGTGAAGTTTAAGCTGGACATGGTGCTTTATGACTGCAATCCCAGAATTTAGGACACTGAGGTAGGAGGATCATGAGTTCAAGGCCAGCTTGTTCTACATAGTGACTGAGGCCAAAGGTGGACCACACAGTGAGACCCAAAAGACACAAACAAACAAACAAAAATACAACCAATAAAACAGCACCCAATACGCCCAACTATCCAATCACCCATCCAACACAACCAACCAATCATCCATCTGCCTAACAACCAACCAAGAAACGTCAAAATTCTAACGCAAAGCATCTTCTCCCACTGGGGAAAAACTCAATAGCTAGAAGACCTAAAGACTCGATGTCTTACAGCATTTTTAAAAAGTCATGTATAAAAGATGGAAGGAAAGTCATGTAAGGGAGGGAAAACAAAGCGAATGTTCTTAGACCAGCAAAGTAACTCTATAATTAAACTTGGTCAAAAAGTTAACATGTGAATACAATTACTTGTACAATAATTTAAAAAGTTAATAGGCTATCTTGCAGCGTGTGAGCTCCCTTTCCCCAGATGTGACAGGGAGATATGCCTTAGGGGCAGTGTGCTGGATGCAGGCTATCTCAAGACCTCACAATTCCAAACCAGCATTGCTTCACTTTCATCATAGTTGTAGGTAATTTTGAAGATCCTTGTTTTTTCTAGTATAAAAGACATACACTCTTCTGCTAAGACATGAGCCACAGACACCTAGACACCGTTGAGCAGCTC